GGGAGGGCAGACCACCTCTGGGTCCTTTCCCTTCCCCTTATTTCATCGACTCTGGACTCAGCTCCCGGGTCTCCCCCAAGCTAAGGCATTTCTGGGGCCCTGCCGCCTGCCTAGGTGCAGGGGAGGAGGAGGCCCACCCCTCACACTCCCTCTCTGGGTCCTGCTCTTTCTAGGACTCGGTTCCGCAGCCCAGCACCGCCCACTCAGTAGGAACCTGAGAAGGGAGAGATGGAGACAAAAACTAGATAGCTATGGGAAGGGGCAGGATCCCCGAGGACTGCAGGGGAGTTTTACTTCCCCTTTCCCATTCCCTCTACCTTTCAGCAATGTTGGGAAACAAAGCTCCGTGGCTGAGTGTGGTGGTTGCCAGAGGGAAGGGGGGTCACCTGAGAAGGGGGTCCCAATATATGGTGACAGGAGATTTGACTTTGGGTGGTGGGCACACGGTGCAATATGCAGTTTTGTAACAGAAACCCACACCTGAAACCTCTGTGTTCATGTTGACCAATGTCACCCCAATAAACTTAATTTTTAAAAAAGCTCCATGGGCCCAGCCAGGGTGGCTCACTAGTTGAGCGTGGACCTATGAACCAGGTCACAGTTCGATTCCTGGTCAGGCCATATGCCTGGGCTGTGGGCTCAATCCCCAGTGTGGGGACTGCAGGAGGCAGCCAACCAATGATTCTCTCTCATCATTGATGTTTCTGTCTCTTTTTCCCTCTCCCTTCCTCTCTGAAATCAATAAAAATATACTAAATAAATAAAGCTCATGGCTGAGAAAGTAAACAGCCACCAGCACCAAGGTAGGCCCCTGGGGGGAACAGAGGTGAGAATAGGGGATCCGTGGGAAGTGGAGGCAGACAGGGATCCCTAAGTCTACACCCTACTGGATGAGGGAGACCCCCTTCTCCCAGGTGCTCAGGTAACCACAGCCATGGGCCTGTGGACCAGAGCCCAGCACTCGGATGGACAGGCTGTGCAGGCAAGTCTTGTCCTGGAAAAGTTCCTGAGGGGTTGAACCTCACGTTGCTCTTAGAGCTCCCAGGGAAATCTTGAGGTCCAAAAAGCTGGGAAGTGTCCTTATGGTGTTGGGGCTACTGAGCAGAACCAGGGGGAGCTCTGGGATGAACAGAACCCAGCCCCACCTTCTCAGGGGCTTCGTGCCTGGCCCCTCCTACTTCTGCAGTGGGTGACAGAGGCCGCCAGGGAGGCCAGCCCCCGCTTGAGAGGCAATCCTGTTTGTCCAAGGTTTGGAGGAAGAGGCATTCCAGAGCCCACAGGCCTTCCTCCACCCACGTCCCTAGGGCCATTCGGGTAAGAGGTACATGTCACATTCTCAGATAGCTTGTAAACAGTTTTCCCTTAAAAGCAGAAATGTTTCATTGCCTGGATTGTCTGTAAAGTCTAGAGCAGCACCGTTCAATAAAAATATGAGCCACATAGGTAATTTTAGATTTTCTACTAGTCACATTTAAAAAGTAAGAAGAAACAGCCCTAGCTGGTTTGGCTCAGTGCCTAAAGCATAGGCTGGGGACTTAAGGGTCTCTGATTTGATGGTTTGTTTGGCTCAGTGCCTAAAGCATAGGCCTAGGGACTTCGGGGTCTCAGGTTTGATTCTGGTCAAGAGCACGTACCTTGGTTGCAGGCTTGATCCTAGGGCTTCGTGGGGGAGGCAACCAATCGGTTTCTTTCTCTCTGTCTCTCCCCCTCCCTTCCATCTTCTCAAATAAATAAATAAATGTAAGAAGAAACAGGTGAAATATTAATATATTTCATTTAACCCCAATATGTCAAAAATGTTATTATTCAACATGTAATCAATATAAATATTATTAATGAGATTATTTCGCATTTCCTTTTAATACTAAATCTTCAAACTCCAGTGTGTATTTCACATTTGCTGCACATCTCAGTTCAGACCAGCCAGGTTTCAAGTGCTCAGTAGCCACCTGTGGCTCTTGGTTACCTATTGGACAGCCCGTGGCCAGTTAATGGTCACAATCCCTTCTATCCCTCTCCAGTGTAGGTTGACATACACAGAGAAAATGGAAAGCAGTTCTGAAGCTAGTCCAGTACACTGTCAATGCTTGCCATTCATCCATCCATTATATTAGATAATTACGAGCATTTATTGAGCATCTACTATATTCCAGGCTACTCACCACACATCTTCCCAACCTCAGGAGATTCAATAAATGCACTCACATTACACTAATTTTTTATTCTCATTTGACCAAAAGTCTGTCACCCAGTGCTGGCTGTAGCTGACACATAAAATCAGATTCTGCACACTGCCCTGAGCAAAAAGAAAAGATCAAATAAACCCTCTCCCACCCCAATCTGCAAGACATGATAGAGCTGCTTATGGCTTCAGCTGAAGAATTACTAATTAATTTAAAGAGAAGAAAGATGTTTCTCAGAGATCAAATAATTAAACAATACTACTCTCTTTCATGTGAGTCTCATCTGAACTGTCATCTGAGCTGGGACTTAGTTTCTCAAAAAGATACCCCTATTGATGATCAAAGGAAAAGACTGGCTCCATTAGCCAAGTTGCCTATACTGTGGCCTTCAAAATAAGGGGAGAAATGTATTTTAGGAGGGTCTGAGTAATGCACTTTACTCATAACATTTCTGTATTATGTTGCTTGTTGTCTGTTTCAACTCCCTTCTATCTGAGTACTTTATTTTAAGCACTACCAAAGTGGATGAC